ATATATATATATATATATATATATATATATAAAAAAAAAATATATAATATACAGACAAAACACACGAGGTACAACAGAAAGGACACTGTACCGTAGTTTATAACAGTTTTGCAGTTTTTCGATTTTCTTAAAATGAGGTCCATGCTTTTATCTATTTTTTAAAATTATGTTCTTGATTTTATAAAAATAAAAAGGAATGTGATGAATCAAATATTAACGTTGTAGTTTAGTCAAGTCAATTATATGATACGGCTTAGGCCTATACAATATGCATATGAAATTCGAACATTCTGATCTAAGAAGAGTATGACGTACAGGAAAGCACGAGTAACTAACTTACAGTTAATAGTGACCCTACTGATTCCCAGTCTCCAGTTCCTGATGGGTTGTCCCGGTCATACCATGGGGTCCACGAATCTATAAGAATAATAATTAATGACTAATTTTCCCTCCATAATTCCTGTCATGTTATTCTTTATCATCATTCTTTTAACAACAAAACATCTTTGCTCTTATAATAAAAGTATCCCATTCTCCACATCTTTTTCAATGCGCTGATTAGATTATCAAATTTTCTTAGTCAAAAAAAAAAAAAAAACAAAAAAAAAACTGTTGTATGCACATGAATATATGAAATATAAATATGAAATATGAATACATTAAATATTGTCATGAATCATGACCATATTTAGGCATGTCTCATATTTTTGTCAATATTGAGTTGGCATGGCAACGCAATATTTGTATTGATTTAATCAGAATTTTTAATTTTAACTGAAATCTTTTATTTTTTTAGTAAGTTTAAAATTTGAACTGGAATATTCATTAAACATCATAATAATTTACAAGTTACTATCTTGATGCATTAGATTAATGCCTTATTGTATCTTGTTGTGTATGCTTGGAGTTGTTCTCGTTTTTATTCACTTGCCATTTTATGTATATTTTATCCAAATGTTTTTATAAAATTTTAATGACCCGAAAATGTACTCACAACTATTTTCATATTAGACAAATTTAAAAAAAATGAATCTGAATCTGATGAATGATACAAGTTTGTTAACCTGCTTCCTTCGTTTATAATGATAACTGATTGAAGTCCATTATTATAATAATAGACTTACAACGCGCGTATTTTCATGACATCTTGAGATTATCTATCTTTGTTTTAACCGACACTATAAAAATTTAAAAAATTAAAAATACATTTTAATCAATTACCAGTAGGCCTATGTCACGGCTCACTTAAGCCCCGTTCAGATTATAACATTTTATATAACAATATATGCCTAAATATGGTCATGATGACATCACATCATGACCATATATAGGCACAATACGACTATAATATGGGCATAAAACAGTTTTTTGTCAAAAAACATTTGATATTCTAGACAGAGCTTTAGGCGTACAGAAATATTCTGCTCAGTTAGGCCGAAAAAAATTAAGTGATTGTTTGCCCTTCTTTTTTAAAATGATAAAAAGGGGCGGGTGGATTTTTTTAACTCACCAAACGGAATAAAGATAACCCACAATATCTTACATTAGACAACAACTTTAGATTAAATTGCAGGGAATGTAGCAAAAAATAAAGATAAATTCACTCACATTTTTTTTTGTTATTTGTAAAGAAAAAGTTTTTTGTTTTTCCGCTTCTATTTTTTCATTGAGTTAGGGGCGCCGGGGTGGAGGAGGCAAATAGACATTTTTTTTTTTGCCTTACATGCACCCTAAGTTTGCAGAGAAATGTGTTTAAGGGAAAGATTGAGTTTAAGATCAGATGAAATTTTTTCAGCATTATTTTACAACTTTGTCAACACAAATATGTTATAATCATAATGTAGCCTACGATGAATACTTGAATATGAAAAAAAATGTATACGGTGTCACACCGGTTGTCATGGTAACGAAACGGCCTCTAATTGACTGAACACGAATGTAACTTAAAAACTTTTTTTTTCTTATTAATGAAGACTATTACTGAATACTGAAATAATTAACTGTCCAACATAAAGAAGGGAAATAAGAGTTTCAAGCTGGGTTAACGGCAAAAAAAACTTGCAATTGACCTTACCTGCGATGACCGCTGAAAACGCTCCCAGAAAAACAGCGACGAAAATCAACTTGCTGTCCATTCTGCAATGCTGCTGTAACACACACATACACAAAAGAAAAAATGGAAAATCGATTAATTTTAGCAAGGAGGTTGAATTATTAAGGGAAGAATGGATCATAATTGTAATGATTTTTTTGATGATGATTATTATTACAGTAATGATGGTGATTTTTTTGGTAGGGGTCTTTGGTGCTTTTATTTATATTTACAAAAATAACTATCAGATCATTATCATTATTAACAACAGACCATTAATATTAATTATTACTGCGGTCATTGTAGCAGACGTTTAAGGAACAAACCTTAATACTGCAACAGTATACATTAGTTTAGTAGATCTACGAGCCATCTACAATTCGCAGATTGTATCATAATATATTTAAATGATACCATCAGACAGCGATCGACGATGGCGTGTTGCGTTTTTATGGAAACCAGGGGTGGCGCCAGAGGGGGGCCGGGGGCCAGGGTCCCCCCGTCGGGGAGAGCTTCCCCCTCCCCCTCCCCCCCCCGTCGGGGAGGAAAAGCACAATTCGTCGGGGAGAAAAACAAATTATATGTATTTCTACATCGATTAAACAAGGCTTTGAAACCCCTAAATTGTCAAAATTTTGGGGGGTTTCGCCCCCTGGACCACTTTCGAAGCCTTATACTTTGCTTTCGTCGGGGAAATCTGACCCCTCGTCGGGGGAATCGCAACCCCCCCAGTCGGGGACCTCGGTCCCCACCCCCGTCGGGCAATTCCTGGCGCCACCCCTGATGGAAACCAAACTTGCAGACTCAAAATGAATAAAGTGAAGCTAAAATCATGGCAGGTACTGAAACAACAAAAGAAAGCAGTGTACGTAAATAGATCTAACTTGATCGAGTAGAAGAGTATATATATATTGGCGGCGATTTACACTAATAGATAAAAAGTGGAGTTTTACTGTCCACTGATACACCACTGACGTTTCGAACAACTGTGATAGGAAAACGAAATCGAGGAAGATACTGATGGGCACGATGAAGAGAAATCGAACAATACAAGGGGTGTTCTACTTGTACCAGGGAGTGAGTGACCAAAACCTCTGAAAGAGGAATTTGACCGACTATGGCTGAAAATGTTGGTCGAGTCCATTACTGACCACCTCAGCCGCAAAATCACCACAGCCGCAATCATCGTGGTTGGGGCTGACGTGTAGCACAACCTCCTCTAAATTTGCGATGTGTATACTCGAATCCCGTGCCGAGGAAAGATCTGGTATTACCGCTGAGTGTGGGTATTTGAGTTTCATTTTTTTTAAATAGAAAATCATAAATAAAATACAAAATTTACCGCAGTATATTCAACGAAGGTGACAGTTCCTTTACATCTTTTGACCCCCACCCCCAAAGACTTTTAACAATTCAAAAACACATTGTTATAAAATTATTTTTAAACGTAATGGTAATCATGATGCCGGGTTTTCAATCTCGAGCTGTGCACTTCGCTTGTGTCCTTGAGCAAGGTACTTTATCTCATTGCTTCTCTCTACCCTGCATCATGGCTAGATTTTAACTATGATATTTACTTTACTATGGTCTTTGTAGTGTACGAACGATTTTCCCTTACAATAATCCCCGGGTAATTTTTATTTTTTAAAAAGTCCTCCCTCGTCCTTTTTTAAAATAAATGAGTGATATCTAACATTTTTATAATTTTTATAATATAATGATTAATGTATTATTCAATATAGGAATACAATTAAATTAATAATAATACTAATAATAATAATAATAATAATAATAATAATAATAATAATAATAATAATAATAATAATAATACATGCCGAGCATATTTTATCTCTCAAAATGTTCAGAAGTATAATAATGCTATATTATTTGACTATTTTAAAAGTCAACCAAAGTGTCATGGACAGGCAAAGGTATACGAGTCAAGCTATAGCACTTAACTTTCAATCAAAATTTAAACAGCAAACGTGAGAAATATTAAGCATAAAAGCGCCATTTCGAGCATCTAGTGATGCCGTATTTTCAAATGGTTTGGCTGAGGTGTGTGTAGACTAGAGCCTTTACTTGTACCATCCCCCTGAAAAACGGCTATGGAAAAAGCAACTTCAAAGTAAAACCCATTTATTTATTTATTTTTAAATTCAATTTGATTATATATCATGACATCTTTGCACATAAGGCTACAACACGCGTTACCAATTTCACAGTCCGTCTAAAAATCTAAAGTCTAAAAACTATTAAATATATCGAGAGAATATAATATTGATTCAACTTACGTTTAAGAGTTTATGTCTGACGCCCAAGAAAGAGTATTGTATGTGCCAACATGCATTAAACTTGTTCTTATATACAGTCGACACGGATATCACATCCGGAAGAACTGGGTTTGCCTTAATACTCAAAGACCACGAGAAATGAGGATTATGTCTTCTCAGGGACACAAATAGATAATTTTATTAGCACTTTGTTTTCATAATCCTTAAAACGTTTAAGACTTCGGTCGCATATATCTTAGTGACGTATGGACCCGATTGGCAGCAAAAAGACACGTGACACGTAGAAGTTGAGTGAAATGAGTTACCGCAGACAAGGCGCTATAAACACTGGTAACCCTTAAAGTAAACACACGGTTTATGTGGACCCCCAGAACGATGATGTGTTGTCTGTCATACTGTAAGAAATGCCATTTTCTCTATGATTATACATTGAAGACAAACACCTGCACCGTACAGACATATCATATAAAATTCGCAGATAAAACATATAAAATACAAAGACAAACAAGATAACAAGACAGTAATACAACATTTGAAAGAAAAAGCTTAAAAAAAAAAAAAAAAACTCGACTGGATTGCTCTAAAGTAAAATCAAATTGACTGTCATGGAGCTATCTGTTAAATCTGACTTATAAAATAAAATTTTTACAAAAAGGAAAAAAAATATATTTTCTTTGCAAATAATATGAAGAACATCATAATATTAATCAGAAAAACGTTGTTAAAATATATAAAAATATAATATAATTTGTTTTATTAAATTTTAAAAATGAACAGAAGGCACAAACAGCATACAAAAAGCAACAAATCAGAAGGGTAAAAAAGTTAAGATTCAAGAAAAATAAATCAGTTAAAAATACATAGCCCTAAAATTATGAAAATGCAATATGAAAATTTAAAACAAAGTAAAACAAATGTTACTGACACACGAGCTTTCACATAGTGATATTAGCTTAAAATGAAGAATGTTACTAGTTTACTGGTAAATTAAATGACTTTAAGTTAGTTAATATCTTTCTTGTATTTATTTGCATATAATCTTAAATTTAGACCATGAAATTTGGTGGTAAATTTGAGCAATTTATTAGTAAAATGTCCGTAAATTAGGTGAAATTGGTTTTTTTTTCCCGATTTAAAAGAAAAAATACAACATTTAAAAGAAAAAAAAAAAAAAAAAAAAAAAAAAACTCGACTGGATTGCTCTAAAGTAAAATCAAATTGACTGTCATGGAGCTATCTGTTAAATCTGACTTATAAAATAAAATTTTTACAAAAATGAAAAAAAATATATTTTCTTTGCAAATAATATGAAGAACATCATAATATTAATCAGAAAAACGTTGTTAAAATATATAAAAATATAATATAATTTGTTTTATTAAATTTTAAAAATGAACAGAAGGCACAAACAGCATACAAAAAGCAACAAATCAGAAGGGTAAAAAAGTTAAGATTCAAGAAAAATAAATCAGTTAAAAATACATAGCCCTAAAATTATGAAAATGCAATATGAAAATTTAAAACAAAGTAAAACAAATGTTACTGACACACGAGCTTTCACATAGTGATATTAGCTTAAAATGAAGAATGTTACTAGTTTACTGGTAAATTAAATGACTTTAAGTTAGGTAATATCTTTCTTGTATTTATTTGCATATAATCTTAAATTTAGACCATGAAATTTGGTGGTAAATTTGAGCAATTTATTAGTAAAATGTCCGTAAATTAGGTGAAATTGGTTTTTTTTTCCCGAACTGTTTGTAAATGGAATTTTGATAATTTTAAATGAGCTATTATATAGCAGCCAGTACCTCTTTTTTTGCTGTCAATGTTCAAGGTTCTGTCTGGGGTACCAGAGATTCACTACAGACAGACACCAAGAATTTCGGGCATCGCCCTTTAATAAGATGGTAGATCACTTGCTTTACATTACCAGGCATAATACTATGGCTGGTTGTAAGGACGCATTTTGTTTTGTTTTATGCAACTTTATTTACCGATAAATATTATGGACCTATGCGCTTAGTCCCGCCCCTCTTAGATAGGCCTCTTGTTGCTACGGTTCCACAGATCAAAAGCGTAAATTTGAAAATTTCCCCCTCCCCCGGAAAAGGTCCAATCTGGTAAAGCAAGAGCGTTAGGAAGAATGAAACAGTGACTCCATAAACTTGACATTCATGTCAGTGCTCCATGAGCTATTATATTTTCTTGCACTTATGGAGTCAACTCTAACGATGACTTCATAGGTCACCTACATTTTCATTTTTAAATTTTATTCATAGCATAACATGCCTATTTCATGTATCATATTATTTATATAGTTAAATCCTACACACTAACTTGGGCTTGGTTGTTGTCCCCCTGCTATCATGCTGGATATGCAATCTTGAGGATAAACGTAATAATTCTCTTTTTGTTTATCCGGGTGGATATATTATATAGCACATTATTGAGAGATTTAAAGACCTTTAATATTATGGACTACTCACAACCTAGTCTACTCCTTGCCTTCTTAGATCACCAAGCAAGCACCTCCTTGAACAAGGCAGTTGGAGACATAAAAGCCTGGGTAAACGTGTATGATTCATCAGGGGAGGATCCTGAGATTTTCTGACGGGGGGCACATACAATATGAAGTCCACGCCGCCACACTCACCTCCGCCCACATGGTTGGTGTAAACAAGTGGTAAACAATCGAGCTCTCCTTTCACCCACTGAACTCACATAAGTGCACTCCTTTTTTCCCCCTTTCCCCTTTTTAACTCAAGTTTTTCTCCCTCTTTTTTATTTTTCGGCTTGACCGACGGGGTGGCACGCGGGCCCTCATGCCCCCCCCCCCCGCTGGATCCGCGCCTGATGATCCTTATGGTGCCGCCCCTACATTTTATGGAATGCTCCACCTCTTGACATCAAAACCTCATCTTTTGTCAGTATTTTCAAGCAAAAGTTAAAATGTTATCTCTCCATCTCATATTAAGTTTTTTTTTTTGACACATGTAAATTTGAATTTGTCCGTTACCATGACAACATTAATATAAGCCATAACAAAAAGTGTTACATCTACTGAGTAATACCACTGCCAGAGTATCACGGAACATTGTCTGTCGTGGATATACAATATTGGCGCTTTAAAAAAAAGCCTACTGGTTGGTTGGTTGCTGATCGGTCGGTCTACCGATCGATTGATTGATATGGCCTATATCTCTAAAGGTAGCATGATTCCATCAATCTATCAATCAGCCAATATTTCAAAAATAACCTTGCGTTTTAGAAAAAGTGATAATTCCGGACTAATGAGCTTAGCCACGGAACCCGGATGCATCCAGGTACGAACAATATCAAGGGGCGTGTACACATTATAGGAAAGTCAAAATTGCATAACTTACCTGGAGCATGGAGTTATAAATATATATATATTTTTTTAAATAATTGTAACTCCATGCCTTGAACAACCATAAGATGATTGTCAGTCATAAGAAACATATTGTACTGTATATTGTCTCCGATTGGGCCTTTAAATGCCACGCATAAAACGGGCAGAAAGATAATTACTAAATACTTATGAGATAATTAGTCCTACTGCTCGATAGTAACAATTCCAATAATTTTCTAAAATACTTGAACGCTTTTACCTGATCTCAGGCCTACTTTCCATTGCGTATTGAGCTTTAGATATTAAAAGACAATATGATATACAACATTATATGTTCATTTACAAACGTTGTAATTTAAAATTATATTTTAAAAAAAAACCTTCACGTTGCTACTTAAAATCGGAGAATATGGCGTTACATAAGAATCTATGATCAGACTGGCTTGTGTACCTGTTAAATCTGGTATCAACACAGGGCCTAGGGGGCATGTTATCGTGTTTTAACCTGGTTTTACCAACGACTAAAATGTTTACTTTATGCCGAACCCTTAAGATGGATAAGATTAGATTATTTATGAATGTACTTAGTATTCAATACGATAACACGTCACGTCAAAACATCACTCACAAAGAATTTCCTGACGCAAAACATCGAAATAGGCCTAATATCAACTTCATTTAAAAATCGATGTACTGTAATTTACTTGATTTGAATATTTGAATTAATTATGTTAAAGTCAGGCTCAGGAGGAAAAAAAAGTTATGTTGATTTTTCTAAGACACAAAAAGCATTTTTTTAAAAACTGGGGAAAAGGGGCGTGACCACCCTTTTTCCACCTTTTTACCCCAATTTTTAAATATTCAAAAATCTGTATCTCATAACATTGCTTACCGTCCGATGAACTTTCAGCTAGGCACGCCTCTTGGATGGTGTTCGTCCAAAACAATAGCGTGTAAACGTGCGTTTGTTGGACAACTCGTGTGATTGTTAGAAACGCACGTATCTGGCCCGGGATTTATCAATCTCAGCTTTTTAGAAAATGTCTTAAGTCAAAAAGTTAAGATGTCCCTATAAATATCTTAAGCTGATTTATTACCCAATCTTAGCAAAATCTTGGCTTAAAAATCGTCTTAGATGGCGCCAACGTACAATCGACTTTATAATTTTAAGCAATTTTTAAGCTAAGCAATAATGGATAAATTTAATTTAAAATCAGACTCCGGAGGAAAAAAATTGTTGATATGTTGTAGCACTGATTTTTGTAAGACAGAAAATAGTTGTCTAACGAAAAACTGGGGAACGGTAAATGAGATACAGATTTTTGAATATTTAAATACTGGGGAAAAAAGGTTTAAATAGGGGCGGTTACGCCCCTTTTCTCCCAGTTTTTAAATATTCAAAAATCTGTTTTCCCCAGTTTTTCGTCAGGCAACTTTTTTGTGTCTTAGAAAAATCAGTGCTACAGCATATTAAAAATATTTTTTTCCCTCCGGAGCCTGACTAAGCTAAAAAATGGACTTAAGACGAATTTAAGCTGATTTCTAGTTTGATAAATCTGGCCCCTGCTGGCATTGGTCAGTTATTAAGTTTCATTGGCATTCCGAAAGGACCAACAGGACTCGACGTGCTAAGCATTTGAATTGTTAATTAAAGAAAATAAGTACGTTTTTATATGGCTCTATAGAAAAAGGCTCGGCCACCAAACCGAAACGTAATATTATAGCAACGTAAAATTGTTAGCTGGGAGGCAATAGGAGGCTACCAAGAAAAAAGATATTGTTCAAATAAAAATAATAATCACTATTTGGCCTAATAATTAGAAATATTTTTTGAAAGAACTTTAGTACACGCAAACAGACATCAGTCAAATACATTTATCTTTGGCTTCTAATCAATTAGATTATAAAAGAATTATAATGGAAATGAACCACTCCTTTTAAACCCGGATCCTCCAAAAATTAATATTAAAACAAATATTTATAACGCTGTCCCAAGCAGAATGGTCAAGGTTTATATGACCTTAATATCAAGGTACTTAAATCCACTCCTACAAGCATCCGCTTCTTTTAAGCTGCTTGCTACCGCAAAGTGTGCATTAAGAAGGGGTGCATAATCACTGCTACCATAGGTAGTCTACTACTGCTTAAATTGCCATTAAAAAACTGCTTCTGGGTATTTAGGGGGCTCAGGGCGCCATGCTATCTACCCTGAATACGGAGCATGAGAAACCCCTCTCCCAAAGGTGCCTTCCCTACTAGTGGAAATTTGCTGAGCCAGTAAGTTACACTTGCACACGTCCGTGACACCATGGAATAAGTTCAGCCAAATGTATCCCTCTATGCATACACACTTAGTGTATTACACGTAGTGTAGTACAGAGCCCCTTCCGGTACACGCCTCTCCACATTGCAATTTTGACCCTGACCATTCTAATCAGACATGCCCTTCTTTATCGTGACCTGTTGATTCTATTTCAAATTCGATCTTTTTCGTTTATTGCTAATGAATGTGGTCCTCTATAATTACGCCACGCCACGGTGCTATGACATACTTTCTTAGGCTCTAGAGGAAAAGCATTTTTTTTGTTATATGTTCACAACTGATTTTTGTAAGACACGAAAAAAGGGTGATCGACTAAAAAAGTCGGAACGGTTAATGATATAGGAATAGGCCTACATATTATGTTTGAATATTTAAAAAAGTTAGGGAAAGGAGGAGAGTTTTCATCAAACACCTTAAAATTTAAAAAATAGATTTACAGCCTATTCATCGATTCCTGGATAAAACGAATACGTATGCAACTACTTTGTTTTTATGTATGAAGACACACATAATAAACCTATTTACTGTAATAAGAATGACAAATTTTACCTGACCTTGACTTAAAAAGTCACTACAAAACACCTCAGAAGTCGGGAAAGCTCATTTTCTGCAATCTAGGAATCGAAATTTTCCCGGGGAGGACCCCAACCCCCTTTCTTTTTGGGCTTTTTTGGAAACATTTTGAAACCCCATAAGTTTCAACCCAGAACCGCCCTTGCACAGTATTCTAAATACACCTCAAATACTCTCAATTTCCAGTTATCGTTTTGTCTTTATAGCATACGTGGTTTGATGAAGCCCACATACTCAGCAAACAGTAACCGGAAATAGACCCGGCCCTACACTTTACTGTACTTACGAGATAATGACCACAACTCAAGTTCAGTACTCATAAATTCAGTAGCCAGTAGACCATTGAACTCTGAACAATCATCTTTAAGGATGTCCACTACTGTAGCAACTGTTAATGACTTCCTTAATGAAATAATTACCACAGCAGGATGCATGACTATTTCATTCTCATAATACTAGTTCAAGGGCGAATTTAGAGATGTCCGAAAAAGGGGGGGTTTGAAAGTGGGGTCGACCGAGATAACACTACCCTGGGGTCCGGGGCATACCCCAGGTAATTTTTTGTTTTGCTGCAGATAGCGATATATCTAATAAAATATTTTAGCTGTAGAGCAAGCGAAGTATCATTGGACTATTGGTGAAGAGAAAGGGTAACCAACCCAGGAAACAGCCGTAGGATACATGAAATCAAAGAAATTCTTAAATTCATCCCTTCAGCCATTATATTAAATAGAATTACAGTATACAAGTTTGGTTTGCTTCTAGCGTGGACGATTTGTGAATATCAAAGAAATAAAATTAAAAGTATGTGATGCTTTAACTTATATCATGTTGTTATTTATAATACACAAAGCAAATAAACAGAAAACTCAAATAATTTTTTCTATGATCTGTACAATGCAGTTTGATTGACACTTAAAGCGCTCCAAAGCTAACCTGTACTGCATAATAATAACTGTTCTCAGTGGGGCGCACACCCCTCTAAAAACCCAGAAAATTTAATCTTTAAGTAGATAAAAATTACCTCATATAACCTTATTTTGCGAACTACAGTCCCCTTACTTGGTGGTCGAGTACCACCACTTCACATTTGCTCAGCCACCACCCATCAGCCCCTCCCAAGTTCAAAGCTTCTAAATACGCCACTGACAGTTATTGCTCAATCAGATACAATTCGGTATTTACTGGAAACCGCATGAAGTACGTAATATTTTGCAATGCTTGTAAAGAAATAAAATAAGTACTTGTAATTTACCCTAAATAAATTTGAATTGTATCAAACATTTGTTTAATATAGGAATTATTATACACCAGGTCAAATTTCTGGGTAAAGAGCAAATAAATTCCTTAAGACATGATTCATGATATAGTTTACTTTAGTTTTTCTTTATTGTATTTCTCTGGGCAGCCATGGACCAGCAGATAGACCCATTAGGGTTCTAATGAACCTACTGACTACGTCGGTCATTCAAAATTGTTGAATGTACAAAGTATAAGTTTGGCTTTTGTCCACATGTGCATCATATTTAAGGAAAAAAAATATCAAATATGCTTGTGCCTAGGTGATAACTGTGATGTCATCATGACCATATTTAGGCATATCACATTGTGATAGTTTGGACATAGCCTTGGTTGACAGGTAATAATAATAATAATAGTGTATTTTTATATAGCGCACATATCCATCTAATGTAAGATGCTCAGGGCGCTTAACATGTGGTCTAAGAAGTCCAACAATGACTTTCTTCGCGTCCGTGCTACCCGGTAACCCGGTACCAGCAACTCTCGTCGTCCACTACAGGTAGATAAGCATCGTATTCACTGATCTACTACTCCACATTTCAAATAAAACCTACAAGTTGTTTAACATCATCGTAATTTCGTTCCGCAATTTCTCGTGCTTTTTCAGCACCATCTTGTAATATGTCACGCAAGTATTGTTTCTCATTCAAAAGTAACGTCACTTTGTCACGTATGGGTTTCACAAACTCGTTCACAGCATCGGCGACAACAAATTTATATTCTGCAGTTTCCAGTCCTTTCGCTTCATTACATATGTCAGGAATAGTTTTTCCACTCACTGCTGAATGTATAATCAGCATATTTGAAACACCCGGCCGAGAGTCCGGTTCAAATGTGACTTCAGAAGTAAAGTCTGTTACAGCTTTTTTAAACTTAGTTCTTATTTCATCGTGTGAATCTAAAAGTTCAATTCGAGACAAGGCTTGACTATCTGATTTGCTCATCTTAATTGATGGGTCTCGTAAACTTTTCACTTTTGGTACATCACCTTAAAAACATAAAATTAATGGCACTACAATGAGCACTTTGGTCAAACTTGCAGTATGAAATTTGTAATAAAGAAAATTGTCATATTATCTAAACTGGTGTTTCAGAAATAAGCAAATTCGTAGTTTGAACTGCACATGCCCAAATCCAAGTTCAATCAACATGTCAATTGACCTTGATACGGGCATGTGCAGTTCAAACTATAAATTGGCTTATTGGTTCATTAAAAAATATCAAGACTATTTTAAAGGGGCAGATTCACTTCAATACCATCTGAAGTGGCATTAGTAGTGTACTTGAGTATGCTGGAAAAGTACCAGCGAAATCATTATCAAAATCATCTTGATCAAAATTGTAGATATCATCAATGCCTAAACCATTGCTTTTAATGTCATGATTGAGGTCTACAATGACCCCCCTAACCTAAATAATCAAAGCTGTACCAGCCAAAACATTTTCTTCTTCTACAGCAGCAGCTTGAACTGCAGAACATGGTGAACTAACAACAACTACTGTATGGCAAAACACGAAAATTCAAATATTCGCCAAATGCGTCTTTTTTGTCTGTGATTAATTAAACCAAACATGTGTCTTGTTAAATCGTATTGGCGTTGCGCTGGTGCCTTATAAAATCGTAGTGACGTGAAATAAACCGTAATTCGTAGCAGTATGTTCTAACAAATAACAATGTCGAAACTTTATTATAATAATTCTTAAGAATATCATCGCACTATCGTACTACTGCTGTAATACATCTTGATGGCATCCCAATAATGTCTTGGCAAAATGCAGAATGTAAAAAATACTAAGGTAGAGCAAGGCTTTTTCATCTTTTAAAATCATGCTCTACTGAAGTGTACTCTAGCAAAAATCCTGAACGTGTGAAAGGGGCATAAATATGATGCTTTTACTATCAATCACCTTACAGCAGCAAGCTGGTGATGGGTATCAGCATGCTCAGAAAAACAAGAGCGACTGCTCACAGAAATTTTTTTAAACAGTAATTAGGATGTTTATTTGTAGAAAAGATTATTATTTAGAATGTTCATTTGTAAAAAATATCTTAAAATTTAAAAAAAATATAATTTCTTAAAATTGGAAAAAAATAAAAATTGAATACTAAGACACGCTTCTAACTCATCCTTAATGGACCGCACCATCCATGCGACGTGCCCTTTTAGTGGTAATAGCAGTAATGTATAATAATTGCTAACACCCCAGTTTTGTTTTGTACGTGTAGGGGGAACCCTGGCATCCAACTTAGAAAAGGGTGATGAACATTTGTTGGAAATCACCTCTAGTTTATATGTACAAAATTTCCTTCATGTCCATTCAAAGCTGGCGACGCTGGACCCTTTTAAAGTTTTGGTAACAAGAACCAGAACAAGAAAAGCACTGAGGCTCTGGGATCGGCGCCTTGCGCGGACCCAATAAACTTAAATGAGATATTAAAAAGCTCATCCAATGTCCAGAGGAAAACACTTCTGTCACCTTTGAACTTTTGCAATAGGGCAATTTTTATACCACCTAAACCTCATAATGAAGTTTAGTGGCCAAGATGCTTGTAATTGACTTTGCAAATTATACTTCTTTATAAAAGACATACCATAGATTGCTTTTGGAATTGGAAAGAATTCGCCATAGTTGTTGTTAAATATCCTGGCAACTTCCTGGGCCATCTCTAGGTGCTGTTTCTGATCATCACCGACAGGAACATGTGTTGACCTTAAAAATGAAAAAGCGGTTGAAATAGGTGGAAAGAAACTGTACAGGAAAGACATTAATTTGATCTTGATTTATGAAAAATTGTCATAGAAAAATTAAAAGAAACATATTACAAATATAAAAAATTAAACAAGAAACAGTAAAAATACCAAGGATTTTTTAAATGTGTAAAAAAACACAATCTGCAACTAGCAAAACACAAACTGGTACAATATAAAACATGCGATCAGCAATAACATGTGTGGCAAGGACAAGCCAAACCAGTCTGACACTGTTTCTCTTACTTTTTTCAATTAACTTTTTTGTAGTTTAAAACAGAGTGTGATGAATATAGATTCATATAGGAGGCCCTCTGTTGGTCCATACATATATAACATACCTTGTAGTATAATGGTAGAGTCCCGAAAGTTTAGTGCGGTAAAGAACGACTGTTGCGCGTTGGAAACTAGGGACGCCATACTGTACGAGTACATGTTGTTAATGGAGAGCGTCCTTTTGAAGTTAGGAAGTCGAATTACACCGTTATACTATGCCTTAATTTAGCTGTTGTGGGACTGGTATGTACATGATTTGTTGTGGAATATATAGTTGTACTGTAGATATGAACAGTACAGTAA